CAACCATTATGGTAAGGCGTATCCATGCGATAGATCCATGATTCAAATGAATTCATGTTCGCATCTTCATAATAGATATTATGGAAAATGATTTTATATCGTTTGTGTATTCTGTAAGTGCATCATAAAAGTAGCATACGTCGTAAGATTAAAATATTCTTAATTACAATACATAACACAATTACTGTGTATATGCATTCGATATCAAGTGTAGTATCGCATAATGTATTTGAGAGCAATTCACTTTGTACAGTATATGTGGAAAATGTCGTACACAAGGCACCGTATGTATTGTCATTGTGTAGAACTACAAAACTGTAGATAACTTACATTAAAATTTCCCATGCAAAAAGTGAGTCCGCTAGTGAATAAATATTTTTGTTTATATCATATATCAAAAATTGTAAGATCATATAATAAAGATGTGGTTGAAAAAGTGGTGCGAACATGATTTAAAAATGGAAAGATATAATTGTACAATGATGAAATAAAATAATTTCACAACGAGTTGCTTAAATATATATATTTTTTATTCTTATGTCTTAATTTATATTTACTTTTGACATTCATAATTAGAAATGTATAGAATTATAAATTAAATAACGTATTTATTGTAATATAAAATTANAATTATGGGAACTAAGCACTTCGTACTCGAGTTGGAACGTCGTTGATGACGTCAAATTGTTGACTTCAACACTCAACACTCGCGTTGAAAATTGGAATGTCCCGATAGTGGGGAACCGGAAACAAGGCATTCTGGTTCCTGGCGTTCAGGTGTGAAGGTGTGCTTTGATTTGTCTTCGGTGGACTCTGTTTAAGCTGCCACGTGCCAGGCCTAAGCTGACCTCTTGTGTTGTGATCCGATATAATCATATTTTTGGTACATAAAATTTGTTTGATCCTATATCGTACTCGCCCCATCCTTTCGTGGCAATCATTTTCATTCACCCCTGCGAATATCATCCCTCAGATATTCGCAGATTCCACAAAAGCAATGATGACAAATAAACAATTTTTATCATTTTTTTAATTTAAATTTTTTAAATTGATATGAAAAGGATAAGAAAAAAGTAATTAAATATTTATTTTATATACTGTATGCATCAAAATAGTATAAAAAAACTTAAGAAAAATTGTTTATCAATAAAATGATAATATAAAATGATGATACGTTTGATAATAAAACTATATTTAAAAAACAATAGCGAGACTATTATTTTACATATAGGTATTTCGACAAAATTCAATGAACTTAAATTTTGATTTTGAACACGTAGAAACACTTTTGCGTTGCGCATAATATTCGTTTTCGCAAAAAAATTCACCTGGCCCATTAGTCCCCCCCTTATTCAGATTCTAGATCAGCCGCTGGTCAAGGGTGTCACGATTTGTTATTTTTCAATTAGGTGTGCCACTCAATGAAAAAGGTTGAAAAACATTGGTATAGATGATTATAAAATTTAGTGTTCGACATCACACTTCTAGTTTTAAGTTAGTTACTACTATACTATTGAGAATATACTAGTGTACTGTACTATATGGAGAACGAGCGAATACAAAGTTCAAGTATGTCTATTTCAGTAACTTTGCATAGTTTTTCTTAATAATTGTGCCACAATATACGATTTTGTAGAATTTTGGGTAAAACAAAAGCATAAGATATTCAAATTACTTATATAAAAATGTTGTAAACTAAACATCTATTATATTTCTTAATGTGAAGAGTGTTGTCTCGTATGATATACATTTTTATGCAAATTTTCCTTAAATATACACAATAATGTCATAAAAGAGGTAGACCTCTTGTTTATGACGTCGAATTCTGAGCTCTTCTCTCTCCATATATACTGTATTTTGAGGAAAGAAAAGTAATTTTTGATATTTGGCCCTCGAATATGCAGTTACACAATTCTTATATATATATATATTTCTGACATTTGAAAGTTCCATTTTCAAATATGTGAGAAATGAATAAATTAATATTACAATTTATTCGTCTTTCAATAATATTTTACATTAATATTTAGTAGGAAAATTAAGGTTTAATACAAGACTTTTTTAAATAGTGGATCGATAAATTATTGTTATTAAAGTAATAGTAAAAATAAAGTTGGTTGTGTTATTATAATATCAAACTGGAAAGTCTGAAATACTACGTTTAACATCAATATTATTCCAATCTTTAAATAACACTTTTCTAACTTTTGTGATATTTTCTGTCATTCGGAGATCTATTGATATTTGATTTTTAAAAAAGTATGACCGTTCACGATATTAAGCTATTAAATTTAAAAGTAGATTTATGGCTAATTCGATTTAGATGAACTATTGATTAACACAACGATGCTTAAATAATTTCGTTACGTTATACAATAATTAATACTTTATTTAAACAATACATCCTATTATCTTGAGATCAAACCGAAAATCTTAATAATTATTTTGATTAATTAATTAATTTATAAGGAATTGGATTTTTGCAATCGTTTTTTTGTTTTAATAGAAATTTTTCGTTTACAAAATTAAAATTTTCACAGAAATAAATCTACTGTAGTTACATTATCATAGATGTAAACAAATGAGTCATTTGTTAATACAGTAGAACCTCGAAAACTCGGCCTAATGTGGACCGAAGGGTGGCCGAGTTTGTGAAAATGCCGGGTTATCGGGAATGGGGTTAAAAAAATAAGTACGAGTGTTTCCTCAGAAAATACTGTACTGTACTTGTATGTATTGTTTACTTGAGAATATAACAGAGAATAAACTGCCCAAATATCCTTAAACAAAGGAAAAGTACGTTCTTTATGAAGGCATAGAGCCTTTACTACATGAAAATGAAAATTAATGAATACACTGTGTACAGTAATTTACCTGATAAGACAGACCTCAGAAAAATACTTTATGAGAGATTTATACTTTTATAAAGCTGTCTATAATGAAAATTAATTAACTAAGGATGTTTTTGCTTTGCCAGGGTGTGGCCGAGTTATCCGGAGTGCCGGGTTATCGAGAGCCGAGTTTTCGAGGTTCTACTGTAGATACTTTTAAGTGACTAGCAACTAAGAAAATAAACCAATAGTATAATCATTTCACACGAAAAAGACTTTGCCATTGGTTTTCTCATTGTCACAATAAATAATCGCTGGTTAGTAAAGAATTTATGTTTCTTATTGTTTACGAGAGAAATTTCTAACAAGATTTAAATAATATTAAATTAAATTAATATTACAATTTATTCGTCTTTCAATAGTATTTTACATTAATATTTAGTAGGAAAATTAAGATTTATTACAAGACTTTTTTAAAATAGTGGATCAATTATTGTTATTAAAGTAATAGTAAAAGTAAAATTTTATTTGTATTATAACAATATAAAAATGAATGTTAATTATTAATTTCCAATAATCTATAATTGATAAAATTTATATCTATAGTTCAAGCAATTTTTAATAATTTGTTCGTCCCTACTGCATTGTGACAATTGAAAAAAAAACTGGTAATGCTGTTGCTGAACATTCCAGGAATTCTTTATTTGTTTTCATCCGTAATAATTTCTACCAGTACCTTTAAGTCTTCAGATTGGTTCGGGATATATTAAGGAGTGAAGCCATATCTACTGAACCAATAGTCCAATTTTCTTGAAAATTTCTAGAAACATTTTTCCTTAATACACAAATATTCATGAAAAATTTCAGAAATTTTCGACAAAAGACACAGGAGTTATTAAGCTTCAAACTGAGTGAAAAAATCGTGTCCCCCACCATACACTAACATCCATACATACAGAAAAAAGTTGGACTTTTTTCTGCATTTCAATTTCCTCCGAGTCCAAAAATTTAAAAATCTAAAAGGGAATAATTTTTTACCGATTGCCCTCTGTTATATATAACAGCCAAGAAAGTATAAGGGAGAATCTTTTCTGCTAATTAATATTAAATTTACAAATATAAATAGAGTTATTTCAATAAACAAAATTAATACAACTTATAATATTATATACTGTATTTATAAATAAAAATTTTAATTAAATAAATTTAAAACAACACAAAAAAATATACAGTATGCCTCTATATCCGATTAAATATTAATAATTTATGTTGATAAATGTGATAAATTTTCAAAAAAATTGTTCGGATATAAATTAGAATTATAAAAAAAAAAAAAAAAATGTTATTTAAACATAAACGGAAGGAAGTAACGTAATTTTATTTGTTATTTTAGTCAGTGACATATCCCTAAGCGAGATTTAAACCGCTTTGTCATGGGAGAAAACAGGTTATAACACACTTGAATAGATTTTTGATAGTTTTATAAAATTAAATTCTCTAACGTCTGTATTTTAAAATCAATAAAAATTCGAGATAAAATAAGATCAACAGACATATTACAAGATACGTTTTCATAATTGAAATTTAAATACAATACAAAATATTATCACGATAAATAATTTTAATTAAGTATACACAACCGAATATCGTAGTGTTGTATGCATTTAAATTACAACGATTCGTATTAAAATAGAATAAAATACGCAGAAGAACTTCTGTATAAAGTTTGTACGAAGAAAAAAATATAATGGGTTATTTATCAATGAGATTTTGCAGGTGTTACATGTTAAATTGTATAATCATTTTTGATTTTATTATCTTTGAAGATTCCGTTTTTATCATAGAAAATATTCTCGAATTTAATTAAGATTATTTAAACGTATAAAAGACACATTAAAGATTCTAAAATTAATTGTAATTTAATCTAAAAAAAATTTAACACGATTATTTAAATAGTAGAGAATTATTAAAAAGCAAATGCGACATTTTATTTCGATCGTTGAGGGACATCATAAATAAAAAAATAAGTGGAATTCGAGAAAATATGCAAGATTAATTCTTCTTATTCGGTAATAAAAAAATTTAAAAATTGTTAAATATATGTCAACGTTTTATTATCGATTTTAAAAATGTACAAAATAAAATATTCATGAAATATTTATCTCTAATTTTTAACAGTAGAGGGCAGCAAACGAAATCCGGCAATCAAGATGGAGACCGGAAAGAATGCTAGACGAAGAAAGTAAGTTGACGGAAAAAGCATTCACGTTGTTTTACTTGAAATCGAAACGATAAAAATAAAAAAAAAATTATTATAACCAATCGAATTTTTTTTATTTTTAAATATAACTTTAGAATTTATTAATAATTTAAAATAATCAGTAATGATATTATTATTAGTACTAGTTTAGTATTAATGTACTGTACAGTACATATAAATTATGGTTTTAATTTATATTTTAATTTAAAAAAAATTTATTAGATGTAAAAATATTCCGCGAATTGCTATTATTATTTTTTGTGGCAATGAATTTGCCGCACCCACTTAATAGAAAAATTCCAATATTCTGCGTAAATTTAATAATAAATTTCTTAATAATAATAATAAAGTGAATGAATAAAAATTGACAATAAAATCATTCTCATAACAATTTTATTTTATAGTATCATTTTTTTTTATTAATAACACAATCACCGCACTACTTATAAATTAAAAACTTCACTTTGTTACTACAATAAAGTGTTTTAATTGATTAATTTTATTTCAGAAATTAGAATGTCTGATGCTACTTTGCATACTTCTCGCATATATACGTGCAAAGAACGGTGGTTCTTAATTACGTTGCATAGGAGAAATTATATTTAAATATTGATCCGTCGTACGGATTTTCTCTCAAATTTCCATTCGTAGCGAAGTTTTAATGGTGTAAATATGAATGGAAAATTGATTGGCGAATCCTTATGTGCAGTTCTTATTCTAGATTGATTTGATTGATCTGACCCGAGTGCGAGTCGTATCGGTCAAGTCGCTCTAGAGTAATCAATCTGGACATTCTGACTTGGTACCTGTTTCAGAATGTATTGACCAAAAGTTATGCTCGTTTCGAAGGAAATGGTTTTTAATTTTTCGTATAAATTTGTAAAGATGATGACAGTGGTTAATTATTAATTTTGTATTATCGTTAACAAGCTCGGTGAACAATATGGTTATTGAAATTATTGAAATTGAACTTGAGATTGAGTTTTTTAAATGTTGGAATGAAATGTAAAAAATTGTCTTGTAAGTTAATTAGGAGGTGATGCTGTATATAAAGTCTGAGAAGCATTGATTTATGATACAGTTTAATGCTTTTTTATATATTTTTATACTTTTTATATACTCTATATATCACTTTTTAAAAATTTTTGTGTAGAGTGTCAGATTTATATAAAGTAAGTGTTGTTTATTTTCTTTTACATTAATGATCAGTATGATATTTACATTTTAAATGCAAGTTGATAACTTCAACTTTGTTCAATATACTTAATATATTACATTTTTGGGACTTTTCTACTTTTTCTCTGATTATAAATGGGTAAATATGGAGGAGTTTTTCTATTGGGTAAATAATGTCTAAGTTCTTTAAAAATAGTCAAGAATTTTGAATATTTTGAAAACATACTTGTTAAAAGTTTTAACTTATGTTCCTATTCAAAATGAAAATTTGTTTTTTATATTTTTATTTTTCTAGTTATAATATTTCTCAATGTAAAATATTATGTGGAGATTTTAATCTTTCTTATATTTAGTGGTTTTCTGCTGCTCATTGCTTAAATCTATTTTTACCTGAATATATTCTATCAATGAAATATATTATTTCTTTAATTTTAATCAATATATGACTTTCACTGCTCTGCAAAATATTTCTAAAGACTTGATTTTTTCTTCAAATTTTCAAATTATTATTTATCCATCCTAGACCAAATCATTTACCAATTTGTATAGAACTTTATACTAATTCTGTTCAGTCTACATGCTTAAGTTAATTCAAATTTAAAATTGATCCAGTATGAATTGGAAGGTATCATCTTACCATCTATGTTCTTATGACTTGACCTTCTTAGATCAAAAGCTTATTTTGATTCAGAAAAAGTTAATGTAACTTATTCCACATTCTATTAATTTATAAATATTTTTTTCTCTTAAACCAATGTTGACCTACCTAATAACAAATGGTTCAACCCACATCATTGGAAATTATGCAATTTACACAAACAATGGCATAAATGAAAAAAGTCAGGAAGTCTTCAATTTTTTTTTTAATATATTTATTATGAGTTGAGAAACAATTTTATGAGGAATGTACTTTCTTACCTGTCATATTTTCATAATATCATTTGTAAATTTGTCTCTGTTCAAAGACATTTTGGTCATTCATTTCTAAATTTAAAAAAAAAAAAAACTACAAAATCGAAAATTTTAAGTTGATGTTTCAAACATACGTAATTAGTATAAAAATAGATTTAACATACTTTATAGGTTATCTAATTTTATTTCTTCCTTATCCTGCTTTTTCTTTCTTTCCAATTATCATTTCAATTTCTCCTTTCCTGAAATATAGTATTGTCAACAACTTTTGTATAGGAAGCCCAGGTTGCATCTGTGCTCTATTTTATAAAAATATTACTTGAATAGCCATTACTATTTTATGTATTTTTTTCCCTGCTATTTTATAACTGTTTTATATTCTGGCAATGGATTCATGTGTGTGCAGACCCAATGCTCTCTGTACTGTAATAATGAAAGTTTGAATTTTATTCTCAATTATATTTAGTTTCTTATTATTTCAAGGTTATTGCCCTTCTAGCATCATAGTCTCTCTGAACACATCTTAACTATAAAGTTATTTGCTACTTAGCTTAATATATTAGAATTTATTGAAAATAAACTGGTCCACTTTTACAGATTAAATTGTTATTTTCAAAACCTTTCATTCTATTCTTCATGGCAAGGCTAATTCATTGACTGAATTGTTAAAATATTAATACTTCGTGAGAATGGAAGATAGAAGTAAATGTGTCATTTTTCTCTTCTGTTATTTTTTTGTCATAACTGTTAATACTTAAAAACATTGAAAGAGATATGCACATGTGTTTTTAGTACTTTCAGTTTAAAATATGGCACCTGCTACCTTTTCAAAGCACACTTTTGGTTTTAACTATCTGATTTATAAAATTCTTAAAGAAGAGTATATGTGGTTAATTAATTTGAAAAAGAAGAATTTATAACTTTAAGATGATCCCCAAAGTGCATTTTTAATGTTTTAGACAAGTTTTAAATATGTATGTAAAGATAATATCTATTCTAAGTATGAATTAGCCTTAAGCAACCATGAAGAATAGAATGAAACGTTTTTGAAAATAACAATTTAAACTGTAAAACTGGACAGTTCATTTTTAATAAATTCTAATATGTTAAGTTAAGTAGAAAATAAGTTTATAGTTAAGATGTGTTCAGAGAGACTATGATGCTAGAAGGGCAGTAACCTTGAAATAATAAGAAACTAAATATAATTCAGAATAAAATTCAAACTTTCATTATTACAGTACAGAGAGTATTGGGTCTGCATACAAATATGATTAATTTAAGACATATAAATGGTGAATTATGATTCATCAGAAACAATTCTACTATAATTCTAATTATTTCAATTTTATCTGTCTCTGAATTGAAGGATGCAAAGAACTACCTAAAAACAGAAAAGTAGAACTTCTCTCATCTATCTTCACTAACCAAAAGAGAATGGAAGTATGTCAGTAATAATATGAAAGGTGTTACACACTAAATCAGTTTAGTGTCATTTTCTCGTCTCTTTTCCATTCTCATGAAGTAAACCTGCCTTTACTGGAGATACTTAATCCTGAATTTCAAACAGACCAAATTTTTGTCTTGGTTAAATAATTTTCTCTTACTTAGAACATACTATTGGGTGTGTGCCAGAAAGTTGTATGACAATTTTGAACAATGTCACAGAAAAGCCAGAAGAAAGTACCATTGAAGAAATTAAGTAAATTTACTTAATTTTCTTCAATGGTAACTTTTTTCATAGGAGATTTCATTGAAAATCTTGTTTTGTAACTTCACAGTAATTTTTGTTAAATAAATAACTTATTTTTTTAACTATTGTTGGTTCTATTATATTTGATACAATTACTTTTTTGTAATAAACTAAAACATATACAACATATACAAAAGTGTATAATGATTTTGGCAATTTTAAACATTTTTATTTTAAAAATTATGGTGTCGTAGGAATCTTATTAAATTCAAAATGTGTCACTAATCCAAAATGTTGGGAAAAACTGATATAAGCTATAAAAAAAAAAAGGGATTGATCAAAACAAATTCTTACTGCATAATGGCTAGTAGTAGTAAAATAAAAAATGTCTATTTGAATTCTGTATCATTGGGTCTGTGCTGTAAGGTCAAATATCATTTTTCTTCTAATTGACAAATTGCCACAGTCATAATATACTTTTGTATATGTTTTAGTTGATTACAAAAAAGTAATTGTATCAAATATAATAGAACTAAGAATAGTTAAAAAAAAAGTTTTAATCCTAATGTGATATTTGTGTCTGTTGTTAGCATAATTTCTTTATTCAGGAACATATAGTTGACAAGGAAAATTTAAAATAAATTATGGTTGATTTTAAAAAAATTCTGATAATATGGAAGTTAAACTTACCAAGATGACAACTCACAATTTTACAAATATACTAGCCTATAAAAAGATTGTGTGAATCAATGTGTAAAGAGCTAGTATCTGTCTTTAAACTGGTAAGCTGCAATATTTATAGAAGCTCCAAAGAGTTGGTACACTGGCATACACATAGATGCATGCAACTTTTGTGATATAAGTATGCCTCAAATTTTGTAATATTTGGCATTTTAGTGAATACCTTATTCTCCCTTTGGTCAGTTGGCAGTAAAAAGATGAAAGATAAATAAAATTTTAAAAAAGAGCTTATTCAAAATTCTAAAAAAGTATTTAATATTTTTGCAACATATATTCCAGGTTGGGAAACATTGGCTTACATTGGATAACTTCTCCAAATTGTGAACGAGAATTTTTACTTACATAAATATTATTAAGTTACTTTGATTCTGATACATTACAGTCTGACCATATATATCTACAAAATAGTATACAAATACTTAATCTATCTGTAAATATTATAAATTAGAGTTACCATCTTTTT